TAAAGTATCTAGTTTCAATTTTAAGTCATTTTAAGGGTAGAGTGTTTGTGTCTTCCTATACTATACAGTTTGTCAAAAAGTGTCTTCTAAGCTTTTAAAAATGTCAGAGGTTATTTTCGGACTCCTTATAGGGTTGTTGTAAGTGTGACTGGATGTTTAAGTGTGTTTCCAAGAGCAAATGAATGATAATTACGTGATCATCAGGATTTATATACTCAAGTATTATATCTATTTTTGTTCAGAAAAACAAATATTTAGTGGCACAGATTATATTTTTGTCATCTGTTATTTTGAAGAACACCTTCAATAAGCATTACGTCTGCTCTATGTATTATTGAAGACTGATATCATGATGCAAAGATGCACATTTTATTAAATGCTGTGACAAAATTGTATGCATAGTGGAACATGAAGACCTACGGTCCAAACATTTTCTTTATTTTATTATTTTGTGAAATTGTTAATAAAAAAAGCTTTATTTGATGGAACACTTCTGACTCTGTGATGATCCAAACACACCTTAAATATTTCAATAGAAATGCAAGCATGTTTAATATTCTAGCGTACAAAACTGTCCATCGCTGCGCATGTGAAATGTGAAAAGTTGCAGAGTAAGGCTGAATTAATTTAGCATAATCATATTGAGACCTGGAAGGAACGTGGAAGAATTTTTGGTGTGTGTTTAAACAGACAAATACACTTAATAATATGTAAACATGTCTGTCCTGCGTGTTTTATTGTAAACACAACTAATTTTCTCTAAAATGAGCTCAAACAGTTACTAAAGTAATGGAATGCTTTCATTATAGATTTGTGCATTCTTACAGTGACACCACTGTTATAAAACAAAACAAAATGAGAGATTCATTTGCTCTTTACTTAATAACTATGGTAACTTTAATCAATAACAGAAAGTGTTAGTGGAACAACAGTTTTGCGAGGGAACGCACAATACCTTTGCGAGGGAAAAACTTTTCAAAAAATATTTTCCTATCACTGTCCTTTTTTTTTACCCACCCATTTTTCCCCACCATCACGTCCCTTCTAGGTCTCTGTATAATCGTGATTACTTAATAAAAATGAAGCTTTTTTTATTGTGATGTTTTTAGAGGGGGCAATAAAAATGCAATTCTAAATCTAAAATGTAACGTATGCTGATATTATTTTCATTTGTCATGGTTAAAAACACATCTTGTGATTTGTTTTGAATGATTTACAAGAATTGATTGATAAAAGTCCAGTGTTACACAAAACTTTGATACACATGTGGACCTGGAAAACCCTTGTTTGCATATTGACAAATGTATTCAATGTGATTTATAAAAGCAGGATCAGTTACACATGCTTAATATACAGTAAGGCTGAGGCATTAGGTGTTTGAGGTTTTAACTAAAATCCTTACATTTTTACTTCTGTTGCAACTTGCTCATAGATATGAGCAAATATTATTTTCTAACTCTTACAGTTCTGCTCAGCCTTTTTTCTCAGATACAGAGTGGCGTTTTACATCAAGGAAAATGCAGACAAGTCCTTGAAAATGATGAGTTCAGAGTCATTTGTCTTCATGTTAACTTTAAACAGCTACCCAGTAAAGTTTTTCCAGGAAACACCACAGACCTTCGTGTTCGTTTGAGCAATTTGAGCTCCATATCATCTGATGACCTGAAGATTTTCTCCCATCTGAGCCATCTCAGTCTGACCAGAAACCAACTGCAAACAACACCTGCGGATCTGCTCGTGAGCCTGTCTAATCTTTACAGTATGTGCTTGACCTTACAGGTAATATGGGTCTTACAAAACTATGGTTACTCACTACACATTCAGTAGAATAAGGGATGTTATAGTATCTAATGATCAGCAAGGCCTATTAATATATAAAAATCATCTTTAAGACCCAACTCATATTAGTCTGGCAAATACTTAAAATCGTTTACTAGTAACAGTCACTCTTGAAATAAATGTCAACAAGTGTCTAATATTATTTAGAAAAAGAACCAGTTATTTAACAAATAATTGCTAGTAAATATTAAAAAGGTACCAGCCTACCTAAGGAATAAACACTAATTCATGCAAAAGATAACTACTAGCATAAGACACAAACACGTTTTACTGATTAAATGCTAGTCACACCATTTAAACATTTCTAAATGTTTAATGAAAGGGACAGTTCACCAAAAACTGAATCGTCATTTAATCACCCATCACGTTCCTAACCTGTTTTGTCTTCTTCTAAAAACAAATGAAGATATTTTGAAGAAAGCTGGAAACCTGACCCAATTGACTTCCACAGTATTTTTATTTGCTACTATGGAAGACAATGTTACAGGTTTTCACCTTTGTTCAAAATATCTTCTTTACTTTTAAAGATTTGAAAGCATTTAAGGGTGAGTTAATTTTCCTTTTTTGTGAACTGTCCCTTTATGTAACACCAATGCAAGGAAGAGGAAAAAGTGTAATTGACTGCAAAAAATATAAACTTAAATAAAATAAAGTACATTTTAAGTACAATCTTATTTTTGTACTAAATGAAATTGGCATCTATCTATCTATCTATCTATCTATCTATCTATCTATCTATCTATCTATCTATCTATCTATCTATCTATCTATCTATCTATCTATCTATCTATCTATCTATCTATCTATCTATCTATCTATCTATCTATCTATCTATCTATCTATCTATCTCTCTGTCTGTCTGTCTGTCTGTCTGTCTGTCTATTGCTTTTTTTTTTTTAGGAAAAACTGTAAATGGCAATAGTTAGCCGAAAAAAGATTCATAACCTTTAATAACCTTGTTTATTTATAATATTATGCGTCACGCTTATCAACACTAATTTGTCGGTACGCTTGGGTTTTTCGTCTGTTAGGTAACAAACTGAAGGCTTTACATTGGCAAGTGTTTGGTAATTCTCCTCTTGTGGAGCTCACTCTGGCAGATAACCTGCTCTCCGAGCTCCACGCAGACTGTCTGCCGGTAAACAGCTCTCTTCAGCGGCTGGACTTGGCATCTAACAGGTTCACCCTGTTACCTGTGGCCTTTCTACAAAGACTCGGCAATCTCCAGAGTTTTGACTTCAAAAATAACCAGCTGGAGGAACTGACTCCTGGAGCTCTGGTGTCTCTGTCAAAACTCGAGGCCCTTTATCTAGAAAACAATAGACTCAAATCCCTGGACCCTTCAGTTTTCATCGGTAACCCAAACCTTCAGCAGGTGTTTATGAGCGTGAACCGTCTGGAAAGTCTTCCTGCTGGACTCTTCCTTCAACAGAAAGAGCTTGTTTTCCTCGACCTTAGAAACAACACTCTGCTGAATTTGCCCTCAGGTAGCCTATGTTCTGTGGTCGTTTGTATGCGTTATTGTCTGGTAATCCATGGCACTGCGACTCTGTGGCATTGGCTGCGTTTGCACGGAAAGAAAAATTTTCATGATGATAAAATTACTTGTCAAACACCTGAACACATGAAGGGCAGAAACATTTCTGAAATTGCTGCCACAGAGCTTGGGATCAAGGAGAACACTAGTCTATAAAGGAATAATGGTTATTAGTGGTTTCACAAAGGGCAGCCCAGGTCTAGGCCTTGTTTAATTATTTAAGCAGATTTTTAGACATTATTTAGAAAAAAAAAAACAATATCGTTGTGCATCTTGAGAGAAATATATAAAACCCATGTAGGCTATTTTAAGATACCTCTCAGCAAGTTTTAATTTAGACAACTTAAACATGCACTTCAGTCTTGGACAAGCCTAAAGCTTTGTTAGTGAAACCTGGGGCAAATATTAGATCAGTTTCTACAATATAGCAAGTTAAAAAAGATTAAACATGTAAATAAAAAATGAGAAAAAATATTAGAATTATATAATTTAAATTCAAATTAGAGAAAACATTTATTGTTTATATTTACAACAAATTCAGCTAAATCATTTTGTTGGAATAGTTTCAATTAGCATGTTGTACTGATCTCTGTATTATTGGAGTAAGCCAGATTTCCACAAATATTGCATTCTATAGGAAACTAAATTATTTAAAAGCAAGGTATTTTCTGAGAAATCTGTCAGGTTGTACTCATTATGGGTATTGTATAAGCTATAGTATTATAAAATGCTAGTTTAGGTAATTAAATGTGAAATAAGTGATCAAATCAAGTTTGGAGGATGGTGACAGTATTAACGTTGTAAATGAAAATAAATTTAAAGAATGTCTGATTTTGGTCAGCAGAGGACTCTAAACTCTGGTCAATGTCATTTACTGTAAAGACACACCCTGTTGAAAAATTGGATTATTTTAAACCTATGACCTATTTTTGAACAAAATTAATTTATTTTTGGGGTTCCACTGTGATCCTAAAATAGAGCTTAATGTGAAATTCTCCTTTGACATTTAATTTGGCAAAATATACACAGTATTACCCATTAAACGCAGCCTTGGAACAATAATTTGTACTTTAAAAAATACCCTGGTTTGGGATTAGGCATGGGCCGGTAAAAGATTAAAAAAATAATAATGTTAAATGACTAAAACTACTAGTACTTCACTTAAATAGTATAAAATAGTATAAATAGTAAAATCTAAACCTGACTGAGAAAATATTCTTGACTGGCTGTTTTTCAACACTTGTATTTCACAGGATGCACCAGCCCATGTTGTAGTCAGTCAGTTATGTACTCGTGTAAATAAGGACGACAAAAAATACAGACCAGTTCATTAGACCTTGAAGCCTAATATTTCTGCTGCTGTAATGTTGATGTTAACTAACCAAAATAAAGAAAGTTAAACTTGATTTTAAGTATAACATCATTTAAATAGCAATAACTTGTTGCTAGTTGTATTTTTATTAGTGCTGTCAAATGCTAAATCACATAAAAAATTAAGTTTGTATTTACATAATATATTTTTGTGGAGTGTATATATTTATCATTTAGCGTACAGTATATACGTACACAAAGAAATGTATATATTTGAGAAAATGTTCATTTATATCTTTATATGAAATATTTATATCTACCTCAAATTATAAATAAATATAAATAATTATGTACATGTTATGAAGATACAAATTTTAATTTTGGGTTTGATTAATTGCTTGACACAACTGTTTTTGTGTATGTATATGTTCATACTTAAAATGTCATTTAATATTCCATTTATAATTTTTTTATATTTTAACTTTATTATTTACATTCTGTAATTGATAGCATTAAAAGTTCTTTAATAACAGTATTCAAATTATGAAATAAATATTTAAATGATTAAATAAAGTCTGTGTTCAATATCACATTGCTTATTATTTAATTTAGCTGGGTTGCTGCAATTGAAATTAAGTATTGTTAAATTTCACTGGTATTGATTACTGAAATATATTGTGACTTCTCTGTTCACCACTCTATCTCTCTGTCCACATAGCTGTGCTGTGCATTCCAAGATGAAAAGTACCTTTATTTGGTGATGGAGTTCATGCCAGGTGGAGATCTGGTGACTCTGACCAGCAACTATGACATCCCAGAGGAATGGGCTCAATTCTATACGGCAGAAGTGGTGCTGGCACTCGACGCCATCCATTCTCTGGGCTTCATCCACAGAGACATCAAACCAGACAACATGCTGCTGGACCGCAATGGACACTTCAAACTCGCAGACTTTGGCACATGTACGAAGATGGACTCGGTGTGTGATAAGTGCATTTGAAGTGTCTTTTAAGGGGGTTTGATTCTAACAAAAATGTTTCTCTCCTTTTTTTTTTAATAATCTAATTGAACAATATTTTGCTTAGTGTGCTTTTGTGCTGATACCTTGGCTAGTTTAGGCCTGACATGGATTAATAGATATGACCACTAGGTGACACCACTACTGTAGGTGACAGCAAGTCTCTTTCTCCTTATCAAAAATAGTAGGCTGCTATCTAAATCGGTACTTCATTTTAGTTCTAAGTTGTGTCTTGACAAATTAAAATAGAATAGAGGAAGTGAGAATGAAATTCAGGCTACTGCATTGACGTTATTGTCACTGTCATGTTGACCTGTCGTCATCAGGCCTCATAGGATAGTAAATGAATTAATTCCACACTTCAGTAATTGATAATTCTGGTACTTTTTGCCTCCTGATTCATTCAATCATTTTCCTTTGGCTTAGTCCCTTTATTAGTCAGGGGTCGCCACAGCGGAATTAACTGCCAACTTATCCAGCATATGTTTTACACAGCGGATGCCCTTCCAACTTCAACCCACTACTGGGAAAAACTTATACACACTCCTTCAAACATACACTATGGCCACTATGGCCAATTTAGCATGTGTTTGGACATGGGGAGAACAAACAAACTCCACAGTGAAATTCCAACTGGCACAGCCGGGCTCGAACCAGCGAACTTGTTACTGTGAGGCGACAGTGCTAACCACTGAGCCACAGTGTTGCCCCTTGCGTCTTAATTTCTACTACTAATTCGGATGTACAAGGTCACATGCTGTTTTTCATAAACTGTATACAAGGGTGTGGGATTTTGAATTTATTCTGTTTTGATAAGTGATTCAATGAACATTTATTCAAACAATTGATTCAAAATGGCTGACTCATTTAGAAACGAAGCAATTAGTGACTGTCTTTGTTGATGATTTATTTAAAACAGATTGAAGTTCAACACACACACGCACACACACACACACACACACACACACACACACACACGCACACACAAACTCTTGCACTAAGATGCACATTTTCTGCTTAACCTTTTTTTGGTATTTTCTGTTGATCCGTTGAACAGAACTCGCTTTATTGTGTTTTAATGGATATTCAGCAAAGCCTACTTGTGTTAACTTGCTTGTGTAACGAAGTTATATTTTTCATTGTGATTCCTCCTTAATTATTATCATTTGATCTTTTAAGCATTTGAATTTTCATTTTAATTTTGCTAGGAAAAAACTTCCATAGAATTATGCAGCAGTTATGTGTTTTATAGAGTAAGGGCGCCCTCATGTGGTTTGTTTGGGTACCGCAGACATACAAGTTAGGCAGGAAGTGACCTAGCGCGAGAAGGGTAATTCTGCACAACTGGAGTGGCTGCACTCTCAGGACCGCATTTTTAGGACCGCATCTTTAGGACCCTAGTTTTTTGTGACAGCGTCACCTGTCGGATTGGATCATGGATGTGCTAATGGACGACACGGATGACAAGGAAAGTGTAAGTACCGATTTTTCTATTAAGTTTTATTTTAAACTGTTAAAGTATGTGTTTATTTTGTAATGCTGCTGTTTTATACTGTGAGTTTATGCAGAAATGCCAGATTAGCCTGCATGATTTACCCCACTTTTAAGGGTCTGGGACAAAAATGTTACGTGACGATTTTTTTTCCAGAAGAAGAATAAAATATTATAATAATAAATATGGATAATTTTACACAGCCAGAGTGAGAGCTGCTATAACGTTAACTGTTAATAATTTTCTAGAGTTCGTTTTCTAGTTTGATTATACGACGTTCGTAGCTCGTGACCATGGTTTAATGAAACATTGTTGATTTAATGGCTTGTTGACTTAACGGCTAATGTGCTTAGTGACTCATGCATTAAACTAAGATGGTAAAAGCACGTTTGATGTAAGAGTTTCAGATTTATCTATATTTTACTGAATTCGTGTTATTCGTTGTATTACATTAGCACATTAAAAATTGTGCTGACTGCCTGTTTACCCCACAATACTGTATGTGTTATTTTTTACAGTCATTGGTTATTAGCCTGATGTTTTGTCATCGTTTTACAGTGATGAATGAGATTCTGAAAGTTAGGCTTATTCTGCAGGTCTTAACCATATAGAGTCTCATATCTTTAATTTATATCATCAGGTATGTTTTACCTGGCGAATAAGAAGTGATGGCCAATATGATTGGATTGCTTAGGCTCATTGTAGGAGGAAAAGAAAACAAACTACAGGAATATTTTCATTGAGGTTATCTCAAACTGTTGAGTAACACTTTATAACATCTGCATACTATATAAATAAATATTATATATATAAAAATATTATATATATTAAATATATAAATAATTATTAAGCATTTAATAACTAGTTAATTTATTAATATTTTATTTGTTTAGCATTAACTCTACATTTAATAGACATTGATAAGCAGTTTATAAATACAGTTACAAATGCTAGCTGTGTTCTTGAGTTTATAGCATATCTATGATGAAGTGCAGCTTATCTGTGGTTTTCATTTTCCAGAGGAATGTCTGGCCAAATAAGTATATAAACTGCACGCTGGGTGCTACTCATTTATAAATCCATGTAAAATGATTTGCTGTTCTGTGGTGGTATTTTAGTTCATATTTAAATGATTTTTTTTTTCATAGGCCATCGTACATCCTCTGGGTGTCTTGAGGAGCTGGTCTTTGGATGATGCTGAGCAGGTCTTTCTTTCTGGTAAAGATTATCATTACAGGTCAGAATATGGTTAATTTTGCACAATGCTCAAAGAGCCTTTTTGGTACTGGTATATATGTTAACTCAACAGTGATTGTTCTCTATTGCAGTGAAGTAAAAGAATTTAACAGACAGATTTACAAACAACTGACGAAAGAAGGGAGACCATTCAATAGGTGGGTATTGCTCTTATATACTTAAAAATATGGAGTTGGGAGTAGTTTCCTGTTTGGTTCTCCCAACAGTGCATACGCTTAAGCCAGAAATATATATATATATATATATATATATATATATATATATATATATATATATATATATATATATATATATAT